ACTGAACATCTAATGATGTTCAGGCAAGCTAGGGCCTAAGGAGGAGAAATGAGGGAATTAGGCCTTTCTCTAGGTTCCAGGTGGAAGTTTCATGACAAAGTGCTTAAGCTGATGGAAACTGGTATTTGCTCTCCAAGTTGCAGTGTAATTGAGAGACAAGTCTCCAAATTCTATCCTCTCACTTTACGTGGCCACCACATGGAGGCTGGCCTCCTCCACTCAGCCCAGACAGTTCCTAAGCAAGACTGCCCAGGGAGCCCAGAGCAACCATGCTCCTCTGGAGAGCTAAGCAGACCCCAGAACTGTGGTCACTTCTGCAGACCAAGAAAAGGAGCAGTTCCTCTTAAAACCACCAGGTTCAAGCTGGCTTTCTGAAGGAAGGCTTTCTGGGCTCCTGCATTAACAGGTGTGGTTCTGGGCCCCAGAAACTCTTGCTGCTCCATGCATTCTATTTTGGCAGACAGGTTTTCCACCTGTGAGCAACGTGCCACATGTGGAACTAAATAAGGGGGTAGTTTATGTTTCCTTAGGAACTATTTGCAGGAAGAATTTAAACATTAATGATACCTGTAATTGTACCTGGGCGCTTTAACTGGGGCAAATGTCCTGCACCCATGAAGTAGAGCTGAGGAAGTGATAAGATGGGGCTTAGTCACGTGTTTGTAATGTGAATGAAAGCCCTGGGATTGTGCAGTGCACAGAACACACAGCAGTAACTGGTAGCCTTTTCTCAGAGGCAAGGAGATCAAGAAAGGCAGAGACAGAATAATTGATGAACAATTTATTCATTCTGTAGCCTGGGAATAGTTAAAACTACTTAGTGGGGTGCTCAGGAGTAGAGTTTAATTTTGTGAAGCACCTTATATGGTGTCTAGCACATATCAGACACTCCAGGATGAGTAGATAGGTCTATAAACTCTAAAGTCATCATACTAGACTAAGAAAAGAATGCATGACTAACAAGCTAAAGAAGAGGAAATGAAATAATAAAATAGAAGGAACATAGTCAAGGGATAGGATCATTTAAAAAGTAGGGCAAATGGAAAACAAATAGTTAATCCAAATATATCAGTCTAACATTAAACATTAATGGGCTGATTAAAATAAAAAGTTTGCTAGATTGATGAAAAACAAAACCCAACTACATCCTGCTTACTAAATATACCTTAAGTATAGAAACATAGATCAAAAGTAAAAGGATGGGAAAAGCTACACAATGCAAACACTAACCAAAAGGAATTTGGTACAGCCATACTAATGTCATCAAACAGAGTACACTTTAAGGTACGAAGCATTACTACAGGTAATAAGTGATATTGATCAATGAGAAAAGGATAAATCTATCAAGAAGAGGTAACTTTATATGCATCTAATAACATAGCTTCAAAATATGTAAAGCAAAACTTGACAGAATTATACAGAGAAGTAGACAACTGCATAATCATAACTGGTGACTTTAACATACTTCCCCTGTAACTAATAGACAGCTAACAATCTAATAGTAACTGAGACAATAGTTTTGAAAAGTCTATAAAGTCAATAAAAAGTCAAAGAATATAAAAAGTCGATAAAGATATAAATAAAAAAAGATACAGAAGATCTGTATAAAACCACACCCTAATCAACATACAATGTACTCAACAAAGACAGAATACATTTTTTTCAGTGCACATGCAAAAACTACTAAAATCGACTTTATGTCCAGCCATAAAGCAAATTCTTGATAAATCTCAAAGGATTGAAATCATAAAGAGTATGTCTCTGACCACAGTAGAACTGAACTAGAACTCAATAATAAAAACATTACTAGAAAATCCCCAAATACTTAAAAATTAAGTAATTCAGTCAGTGAATGATAGCTCTTATTATCAAGAGCAGTAATGATCAGACATGGATTATGTCATCAAGAGCTAAAAATGTCTCTAGTAGGAGAGAAAAGATGTACCCCTTTTATAGCAAATAACCACCAAGCAACATAGAATGTGATAGGTGCAGTAGGAATGATACTAGGAAATGCTATAGATGAGTTCGAAGTGGGAACAATCACATGACTGCCCTCTGACGTGGTTTGGGAAGGGTTACTGGGGGTAGATGCATTTACACTAGACCTTGAGGGATAGGAAGGACTTGATCACGCAAAAATTAGAGGAAGAGATATTTGATGCAAAAAGAGCCGTGTAACAAAGCTAACTACAGATAAGGGGGATATGTAATCAAGGAATAAAGACAGTTTAATTTGACAAGGGCGGAGTACTGGGAGAACTCAGAAGTAAGGTGGGAAAGGTAGGAGGGGGCAGATCCTGAGGGCTCTGAACACAAGGCCAGTTGATCTGGGTGTATTCTGAGCCCCACAGGGGAGTCAGAGGAGGGTTTTGATCCAGAGTGTGCCTGGCAAGAGCCTAGCTTGCAGAAGGGGAAATCTGGCAGGAGTGTGTGAAATGGTCCAGAGCTGGGAAACTGGGAATGGGTGGAGACAGACCTGCTAAGAGTTGAGATCTCACACCTTGGCGGTGACAGGCAATGAGGGGGGGAGAGTGAATGCAGCAGTAGAAAAACCCTCCCCACAGATCCACCCACAACCCTCACTTAAAAGCAGCCTAACAATGCATTAAAATCACTGCCTAATTGCTCCTTTCAAAGTAATGCTCCAAAATGGAGAAATATGCGTTTAATGTTTAGTCTCATCTCTGCCACCCAAGCCCCAATTTAAAAACCTAATCTTTTTAAAAATAGAATGAGATAAACTGCCGTAGGCACACTCCAGACCCTCAGAATCCCATGTTCTCCTTTCTCAAATACATCTTTCTTTGTATATTCCCATGTGGTGTCTCTGGCAGCTTGGGCAGGTCTCTTGCTAGAATTCCTGAAGGTGGCAGGGGCCTCCCTTACTCCTCACTAGCCCCACTCTTGGGCCTCCTGGGCAAAGCCCCAGAAGTCCTGGAAGCAGGCTGACTAGAGACAGGTCTTGAGGTGTAATTGTGTTCCTGTCCCTTTACAGCACCCTGAGATGGAGGCCCAAGGCCCCTTTTCCTCTCCCACGGGCCAGGGTTGCCCTGAGGGCCACTGTCTCACACTCATTCTAGAGAGAAGCTTCTTCCTCTCCTTTCCTCTGTAATCTGTGTAACCAGTGGATGTAGCAGCCCCCATGCTGGCTTCCTCCTCATATGTCTACAGCCTCCTCCATCAGGGAGTCCTCACAGCATCACAGACTTCAGGCCATCTTCCTGAAAGTAACAAATGACTTCACTATAGGTGCACTGACCCAGAACCAGGGTTCAGGGAATAATGTCCAGCTTGGAGAGGACTTAGCACTCAGCCTGGACAGCTGTCTCCAGCCACCCAAAGCCAGCTGCCTCCTACCCAGTCAGCTCACTTCTGTATTCCTTTCCCTAACTCTCCTGCTTCTAGCTCCAGTCCAAACCCGATTTCCCTCACGTCCTTGGTCACCAAGGATATCAGTGTCTTCACATAGTCTGGAGTTTCTACCCTGATCTAGGTGAAGCTTCTCCCCACACTTGCCTCTCTCTGTATCTCCCACTTCTGCCAAAAAAGCTCAGATAGCTCAGTCTGGGTTTTCTCTGTCTCCTGTCCCCTGCCTGGAACCTGTCGGTTATCCAAAACCTTCAAGTTAGGAAAACTTCCTGAGTCTCAGTTTCCTTATGTGTAAAACAAGGATGATAGTGTGTGTCAACGTTGCTGTAAGAATTAAACGAGAAAGCATTTGTATATCATTTAGCATGTAGACAGAACTTGGTAAATATTAGCTGCTATTATGATTTGGAGCATAGTTGTCTCAAACCCTGGTATCAACCCTGAATGTGAGCTCATTTATCTAATGCTCATTTATATTCACCTGGATACCGCTCACAGGCGCATCAACACGGTGGAGTATATGGAGCTAGAAAAATGCAGGGCTGACGACAGGGCTCTGAGTCATCTGTGCATCTATTGTGCACAGTGTATTGTGTGCACTATCGTGTACAATAGCTTGCCTACTCACCTGCGGCAGTTTAATCCTCCTAACTACCCTGAGAATAGGTATCATTCTTTGTAAGATGAGGCAATGGTATTCGGAGACAGAGTCAGACATCCCGCTGAAGTTTACCAAATTAGTAAGTAACAGTGGGTTTGCACCCTAGTCTGTCTGGCTCCAGAGCCCACTTTGCCTTCTGTGATATACTGAAGTCCGCAGTGCTTGGTGTGGAAAGGTGCTCAGAGAAGGAGCCAGGCAGCTGAGTCAGTGGCTAAAAAGGACTGAAGGCTCATGTAGATCATATGATCATCCAGTGATACCAACATCACCACTGGGAAACAGAACTGCTTCCGGTATTGGCTGTCTCTTTTCCCTGAGCTCCTCCTTTATTTCTCCAGGTTGGGGGTGGATGGGGCTGAGGGTGAGGCATAGAGAGCACATAGTAGGCATTTCCAGAGAATTTTGTCCCTCCTAAGTGGCGTGCGATGACATTGGGTGGCCTTAGCGATCCCTGGCTGGGCTCAGGAACAGGACAAGGGGAAAGGACAAAGCGGAGGGGCAAGGAGGGGGTCAATAAGAGGAAGGGGAGACAGAGATGACAAGCACTGGTGGAGTTCTGTGGAGTGTCAACACTCCAACGCGATCTTGCTTAAGTTTCCAACCTCCCAGCTCCTGCTGTGGTCTCTCGTTCCTTGAGGAGCCTTAGAAAGCAAAGCCCATTTTCAGGAGGTGAATCTGAACACAGCTAAGCCTCGGGCAAAAAGCAGTCCAGGAGCAGTCTCAAACCTTAATGTGCCCAGAGATCACCTGGGGATCTTGTTAAGATTCAGATTCTGATTCAGGAGGCCTTGGGGTGGTGCCTAAGATTCTGTATTTCTAACGGGGTCCATGTGATGCCGATATCGCTGGCCCGCAGACCACACTTTGAGTAGCAAGAGTCCAGAGAGCCTCTCCAAGTCCCTGCTGGCCTCAGGACCCTGGGAGTTCTGCTGTTTCAGCACTCTGCCTGCTGTGTGTTTCCTCTTAGATGAACAAAATGCCACGTGCCTGGAGCCCACAGAACTGGCAGGGTGGCCCATCACGAAGGTGGGGAACCCGCTCCGGTACATGTGCGTCACGCACCTGGACCACCAAGACTACATCTTCCTGCTGCTCATCGGCTTCTGCATCTTCTCCGCGGGCACCGTGGCCGCCTGGCTGACGGGCGTGTGCGCCGTGCTCTACCAGGATGCCCGCCGCAGATCGAGCGAGGATGAGGCAGAGGACGAGCTCGGGCAGAGGGTGGAAGTCAGCAGGAGGATTTTTCAAAGCAGGGTGGACTCTGGCCAGGACGGGTTTCCTCAGCTGATTTAGTTGCCAGGCGCTGCTGTCTGATGGACCTTTCCCAGGCTCCCTGCTTTCCGTCTTGCCCTCCCCTTCCCACTCCTCAGAGCTGTCTTAGAGGTTGAAGCCTACTAGTAAAATAAATAAAACATTTGGTGGCCATTTCACAGGTTGGTCCTTTCCTGTTCAACCAACCCAGGAATAATTCCTTGATCTCAGAAGGAAGGCATAGAACAAAGTCTAGAGAAGCTGTTGGAGGCACCTAAATGCTGAGGAAGTCCACCCCGAAAGCGGGCCAACTTGTGTTTGATGAGCACCTACTATGCTATGCCCCTAAACTAAGTGCTGCAGGGAGGGATATGACAAATACAAGATTTGAGATCCGTCCTCAAAGAGCAACAATTTAGGGCAGGGTTGGGGGGGGGCAATCAAGATTAAAATGATTCAAATGGAGAAAAATACAAGGCAAAATGACAAGAACTAACATGAATGGAATATGTCTATGGGCTATCTTCACACTTCACCTCCTAATTATCACAACAATCCTACTTTACAGTGACACTATTTTACTCAAATGGTAAGCAGTACAGCCTCCCAAAGTCCACATGCTTTCCTTTAAACAAAGCTGCCTTTCAAAGAAATGTTTAGCAACATAACCAAAGGTTCGTCGTGTCAGCCTTGGACAAAACGAAGGAGGGAGGCACACAGAGCCAGCCACCACTTACTGAGGCCTAACCAAATGCCCAGCATCCTACCACGCTTCAGAAACATTTTCTCATGGGGTTAATCCTCACAACAACCAGGTCAGGAGGTCATTGTTTCCTCATTTTTCTGATGCTCAGAGAGACCAAGTAACCAGCTCAAGAGCACACAGATGATAAGATGCAGAACAATTGCTGAACCTCAGGCTGCCTGACCCCAAAGCACATTCTCTATGCACTGTGACCTCCTGTCTCTGATAAAGCAACAGAATAGCTAAGTATGTACCCATATGGTCCTGCTCTCACGACTGCTTAGGAGAAGGCAAAGAGAGCAGAAGGCAGGGGTGGCTCAACCCAAAGACCCATTCCAGGTTTTCCCTTTCTCTCTACCCAGATCAAATCATGCTCACGTTCAAAACTAGATCACAGGCCCACCCAGCTGTCCCTAAACCCCCAACCAGACCTGCCTTTACCTCTGCACGTCCGCTGTGAATTGCACGTTATTCCCCCATATTTGTCTGGTGTGATGGTTAAGAGCGTGGGCTCACAAATAGGATTCCTACCCCTGGTTTTGTCCTTACACCTGGTTTTGTCCTTACACATGTGTGAACTTGGGCTTCCTACTTGTCATGACCTTGAGGACAGAGGCTGCCTGTTATTCTCCATGGACACAGCACATGCCTTACACAAAGTAGGGGCTCAATAAATGTTTATTATTGCATTCTATTTAAATCCCAGCTCACCAACCATTCTTATTCTGTTATCCCGATTGTGAGGGGTGACCATGGACAAGTTATTTAACTTCTCTGTGCCTCAGTTTCTTCATCTGTAAATGGCACTCATTATAGTGCTTACATCACAGAGGGATATTGTGAAACTAAAATGAATACCAATTATAATAATATATCCTGGAATACTTTTAGACTTACAGAAAAGTTACAAAGAGAGAACAGAGAATTCCCATATAGGCTTCACCCAGTTTCCCCTAAAGTTAGCTCATATTACAGTTATCTCACAGTACATCTGTCACAACTAAAAAAGTAACATTGGAATATTACTATTAACTAAATTTCAGACTTTATTTGGATTTCACCAGTTATTCCCCAATGTCCTTTTTCTGTTCCAGGATCCAATCGAGGTTACCACATTTGCATTTAGGAGATTCTTAAAAGTAACAATATATCTAACATTTATTGGGCATTTCTGTATGTCAAGCATTGTTCTGAGTGTTTCTATATATATTGACCCATTTAACTGTCAGAATAACTCTGTGAGGTGGATATTATCATTATTATTATCCCCATTGGATAACGAAATTAGGGCTTAAGTAACTAGCTCAACATTACACAATAAGACCAGAAGTCAAACCAGCTCTGTCTGACTGTTTCCCCCAAAGCTCTAGTCAATAGTAGCTCTCAAGAATTTAAACTACCAAGATAGTCTTGGCAAAAGAAATCTGAATTGCAGCTTTGCACAATAGTTTCTCCCCTAAGAGGCCCTGGATCTTTCCACAGGAAAAAAAAAAAAAAAAGACTCAGCATCTTCTCTGACTGGCCCTGAAGAGACTGCAGTGAATGGGCAGAATCAAGACACTCGGGGATATTACAGTCCAGTTTGGTGGAGACATAAGTAAACAGGTGATTTCAGGCCAGAGTGGTAAGTGAAGGGTAGGCCTCGGAGTTCAAAGGGACACAAGGGAGGGATCCCTAACCCAGAAAGTAGTAGGGAGACTTGAAAGGCTTCCCTGAGGAAGAGACATCTAAGCTGAGACTTGAAGGTTGAGTTGGGATGAGCCAGGCAAAGTGGCAAAGAATATATGTGGGCTAGGGGGTCATTCTAAGTAACAAGAACTACACATGCAAATGCCCAGAAGTGGGAAAGAGCCTGACACATCATTATAGCTAGAATATAGAGTGGAAGGAGAGGAAGACAGGAGAGATCATGTAAGAGAGAGACCCAAGGCCAGACTCTGAAGTCCTTACGCATACCTTGTGTTACTTAGGGTTATGATAGGTTCTGCTGCAGTAACAGATAAACCGCAAAGTTTACTTGGCTTAACACAACAAAGACACTTTTCACTCATGTAAAGTCCAATGTGGGAAGGGCAGGTCCACTGCAGAAGAGAGAAGAGATGTAATGGGCGTGTAGCTCTTACCTCCCAGGGCCTGGAAATGACACATGTCACTTTCCCTCACACTTTGCATAGCCCCAACTTCATGGCAGTCTGTGTGCCAGGAAAGCAAAATGCGATGGTAGACAAAATACTGCGTCTAGTCTATCATGATAAGGAATTTGAAGTGTCCCCTGGGGACCCCAAGGTCCACTCAAGAGTTTTTAGCATGAGAATCACATGGTCTAATTTGTGCTTTAGAAAGCTCACTCTGGCTGTAAGGTCTTCACCTTAGGCGAAGGGAGGGAGGTATGATGGAAACTAGCATATTGCACTTTTCCAGGGGAGACAGAGGGTGACGGAGCAAGGGCTGTGGCACTGGGAACAGAGAGAAGCAGATGAATGTCAGTTATGTTGGAGGCAGAGTTGACAGAATTCTGTGAGTGACTGGACAGGGGAGGTATTGAAAGAATGGATGGGAGGAGGATACAGAGAAAGTAGAAGGAGCTAAGGAGGGTGCCCAAACTTCTGATTTGGACAGCCAGGGGCCTGGTAGCACCAGTCACCCAGGCAGAGAGAACCATCGTGGTGTACTGGATGTAAAAACTGGCCAAACAATAAAACATGAGGAGCGGGACAGGGCATGAGGGGCAGGCGTGGGGAGAGGTGGGGAGACAGAAGGTTAAATCATTATTCTCTTCAGTGGAAAGTCAATAGACAGTGCCTAAAATTGAAAAATCAGATAGAAGCAATGTAAGCCTATTCTTTAGAGATACCAAAAACAATCAGTCAAAAGAGTTTCAAGTGTCTGCCTCTGGGGCGGGAAAAGCATGGGGGAAAAGAATGGAAGATTGCTGTTTTTCATAACAAATTTTGTAGAACGACAACTCTTTAAATAAACTATGTGCTTCTGTATTTGATTAAAAAAATTTTTTTTTAAAAGAAAAGACTGGCTTGTCCAGGGTGTTGCTACCTTCAAGAGGTGTCTTTAACCACCTTTTTTATACAGAGGGGTATCTACAAGATTTCAAAGGACAATGTGCCTGCCAAGGGAATGTTCCTACTCCCTGCCAGATTTCTTCATTCACACTGTGCCCCTGAGCTTGAGTCCCAGAAAAACCAGAGAAGGCTTTCTAGAGGAGACCATGTTTAGCCTAGATCTTGAAAAGTCATAGGATTTCATGGAGGAAGGGACACTTCAGATGGATGGTAAGAGTGAAAGCATGGAGGTATGACAAAGAGAGATGTGTTTGGGGAATGATTGTAGTTCTGTTTGGCAGCCTGAATGACAAATTGAAGTGACTCTAAGATGGAAACAGAAGATCAGTCAGGTAGCTAATGAAACTGATTTTCACAAAATCTGGCCCATGGGCCACCTGTATCAGGGTTCTAAGGATCCCTCAGTGCTTCTAAATCTTCAGGAGAGGGTGAGACAGTAATCTGCATTATAATATGTTCTCTCGGTGAATCTTATACATACTAAAATTTGAGGAACGCTGGTCAAGCACGAGGAGATAAAGTCCTGAAGTAGTGACCATGTGAATAGGAAGGAGGAAATGGTCACCAGACCTAGGACCCCATAGAATGCCAGGGCCTCTTGGGTCCACAGTTGATCTCGGCCATCAGGTCAGCGTAAGTGGCCCTCCTGCCTGCAAAGAAATGCAGATGCTGGGGAACCAGCAACACCCAACAGCTCCTGCCCACCACCTACTGCCATTCCTGCCTCATTCAAAGGATGCCCACTTCATACGATATGGTAGGAGAAATAGCAACTTCCAGTTTCAGCTTTTCCATTACACGTGTGATCTTAAAGATGTCACTTCATTGCTTGGGTCTTAGTTTCCCCAAATGTAAAATGAGGTGGTTAGACTAGATTACCTCAAAGCCCACCTCATATTTAACCTTCTGAAAACAACTATGGATAATATCCAGAATATACAAGGAACTCCTGAAAATCAAAATGATAAATAACAAGAACCCCAATAAAAATATTGGCCGAGAATATGAATGGGCAACTTATAAAAGAAGAAACCAAAAAAAAAACTAGCATATAAAGAGGTGCTCACACTCATTTGTATTCAGAGAAATGCAAATTAAAACAATAGATGTTACTTTACACTTATTAGATTGGCAAAAAAATTGAAAACTGGATCATGTCACATGTTGGCAGGGATGTGCACTGCTGAAGGAAGTAGAGATGGGTACAGACAGCCGGGAGAGCAATCTGGCACCACTTAAGTCAGATTGAGTGTGTGCCTACCCTACCACCCAGCAAGTCCACTCACTCCTGGGTAGATCTCCTGCAGAAATGATCACACAGCCTATAATGGAGTACACA